AGAGACGAGAACGAAAGTTGGTGCGGAAACAAAAGACTTGGTAAGACTTGGTACCCCCCCCCCCGCCTTTCACCCAGTCCTGACTCCCGCAAGTTCTATCGAAGCCGTCACAGGCGTTGTCAAACACCCTTATTTGAGCCCTTTCAGCACGTGCCATTCAGTAGAACTTGACGCCATCACCTCGAAACCGGTGTTATCCTTTCCACCTCTGACCGTACCCTAAATTCTCATATCAGGCCAGAGCACTCACCTCTCTTCCAGACTGCATCCTCCCCCCTACCCCTCTCCCAGTCGTTTTTCCCACCATTTACCTCATACAAGATCAAAATTTGAAAGCACTATACTATAAAAAACTCACGATAATGAAGATGTGCTCACTTGTCGAACTGTATGGGTGCAACAAAAAGCACGAATTCTCATAGGTCCAGGCTTACTCAAGACTAACAAAAGGGACCTGAAATACACATAGCACCCGAGAGAAACCACATAAAGTCGCGCTGCAGATGCTGGGGCGTGTTAGGGAGCTGGGTCTGATGCGGCGGCAGCCGTTCTACACCGATTGTTGAAGCGGGTAAGCGACACAAGTGGTGAAATATGGGCTGATGCCGGGTCAAATCGAAGCCCTTGACACGCCCCAGCATTCGTGGCGAACAAGGGTGTATCACCTCTACAAATCAGAATTGATTCAAGATATTCCCAGGAACAAGTCGCCGATCAAGAAAAAACGTCACACAGTATGATGAAAAAATTTATCACATTTCAACAAAAAACAACTAACACTAACAGCCTAGAGTTTGGGGCATTTTTATCACACTGACTTCAACCGATGAGCAAAAATAACACGGCACAACATTTTTCAACAAAAAAAACAATGACGTTCAAAACAACATACAAGTCCTAAAGGCGTAATCGGGTCTACTTCAAAGCAATTACATCTCTAAAAAACTAGCATGACTAGGAAGAAACCGACTTACATGCCAAGACTTCAACAATATTGAACCTGATCTAGCGTGACTCAATTTTTGGAGGTTAGAAAAAGACTCAGCATTCATGGAATACAAAGAAGCGTGAGCCTGCGCGACGGGGCACCGAATTACGATTGTCTTGACCGCCTCCAAGATTTTCTAACGGCGGAAGGGGCCGTACTAAAAAACCTCCCTCATGGTGTGCCC